CTTGAAATATCCCCAAAGAAAATAATCTAAGGGAGTTAAATCACAGGATCGCGGCGGCCAATTGATATCGCCGTTACGTGAAATAACGCGACCTGGAAACTTGCAGCGCAGTAATTGTATCGTTTCTCCTGATGTGTGACCTAGGCTTCAATCCCTTATTTGGACTCTGTATGGGTGTAACTTCAAATCTCTTGTTGAAATCCGCTGTGTAGTGGAATAAGTAAGGTCCAGTTGCTGCGATCGATGACGAATCGAGTTTCTTGGATTTTCGGTCACACTTTCGACAACAATAGCAATATTGTGTTCCGAGAGACCTCTACGAGCAAGCCTAGAGGTTTTGGTGTTAGCGACGGATCCAGTTTGCTCGAATTTTTGCACCAAATTCCAAACTGTCCTCTCACAAAGCCGATTTTGTGCTCCAAAAAATTCACGTAAAGCACGACATGTATTCTTCCTTGATCGGCCGTTTTCATTATACAAGCTTAGGCTTGGATACTGGATAATTTTAACACGTTGTTCGGTCGCATATTGCTTCATGACTGTTTTGTTTATATTTTGACGTTAGACGTTGTCGTTGACAAATTCAGTGGCGTTCCAAAAAAAAATCATTTGTAATGTGGAAACTCAATTTGAATCACCCTTTATTACAGCTTTAGGTACTTACATTTTTATACTTCACAACTCTGAACAAAAGGCATGTCTCAAGTAAAATAATAGGGACTTTATTCAATTTGAAATCAAATGTTTACATTACGCTGTTACGCAAAACGAAAATGGCTTGCTGAAAAAGTAAGGTTATTTATGCAAAGCATAGGAAGAAACCCGCCGGAAATTTAAATCTGACCAATCAGACAACGTCAGTTGTGAATAAGCCGGAATTTTTTGAGGGTGCGACATGGTTGTCATATTGTGCACTAGCAACAGTGCTTTGTTTTTGTTTCCCATTCGCCCATATGAGTTTCACCCCCCTAGTATGTACAGGGTTCGGCAATGAAACGGGAAGATTTCGTAAATAATTTTATTATCGAAAAAATATTTTTTTTGTAATTAGTAATACCATACTGGGAAATAAAAGAGTAGCCATTTGATACACAATGTTTAAAAACATTATTTTTTGAAAATTACATCTGTCAAATGGCCTCCGTTGACACGTATGCATTCATGGAGTCGAGCCTGGAAGTTCTGCATAACTCTTCGCAGCATATCAACAGGTATTGCTGCAATCTCGTCACGAATTCGTTGTTTGAGGGCCGGGATTGTCCTGGGTGGATCAGTTTCAAACACTTTCATTTTCAGATAACCCCATAAAAAGGAGTCGCAGACAGTAAGGTCGGGAGACCGAGGGGGCCAAGCAATATCCCCGTTTCGAGAAACGACACGCCCTGGGAACAAAGCATTCACCGCATTCATCGAAATTCTTGCAGTGTGGCTTGTTGCACCGTCTTGTTGAAAAAGTGTGTGTTCATTAACTGGAAAGCGGTAGAGTTCAGAATCATTGAAACGTATCTCTCAGAATTAACGGTAACGGCATTTTCAGCCTCATCCTCAAAAAAATACGGACCGATGATTCCATTTGCAGACGTTGCACACCATACTGTCACTTTCTGAGCATGAAGAAGTGATTCATGAAGCATACGAGGGTTAGCCTCCGCCCAGTATCTAAAATTTTGTCTGTTAACAAAACCGGAGAGGTGAAAATGTGCCTCATCGCTCATCCACAAGTTGTTAACCTGGTCATCAAGTTCTTCCAGCCTTGCAAGCATAACCTCACAAAATCTGAGACGCTGTTGATAATCATCCGGGTGAAGAGATTGAACAACCTGTATTTTATACGGGTGATATCGAAGATCTTGATGGAGAATCCTTCTCACCGATCTGTCACTTAATCGAAGGCGTGTGGCGTGACGGATGGCCGATCGACGTGGACTTCTTAAAATGGCTTGTCGAACACGTTCTAAATTTTTTGAGGGGTTCGAATCGTTCTGGCACTACCACCTCTTTCTCTAGTCGTCGAACCAGTTTGCTCGAGGTTGTTTAGCCACATTCGAATCGCATGGTCTGACGGAACCGGTTGGTTACGCGGTATGTTAAAATGCCGTCTAAAATCTCGACGCGTTTGCACTAAACTCTCGCCATTTTGGTAATAAGCCTTAATTGCGTAACCGCGATGCTCACCCGTCCAACGCTCCATTGTAGACTAAATGGCTGCTAAATGGCAAGCCACTCGGGTCCCGACAGGTCTGTGACCTGTGACTGTCCTCCCTATCACTTCACCGCCCGCTGCAAGCCCCACCCCAAATCTTCCCGTTTCATTGCCTGACCCTGTATTAGAAATCCTAAAAACTGTTGGCAGTGCCTTCTCACTTATGAACTTCGTTACATATCGCGTATCGAGTATGCTGCGATTACAGGAAAACAATATACCTACATTACTTGTCAGTCTGACAGGCTGTCACTTGTGGCTGTCACGCGTCACGGTAACCCAACAAATTTTCCTAAATCCCCAATTTTCTATGCTTTGCTTTTTGTATATCAAAAAAGTTTACCTTAGGGTCGTGTCATAAAAATATTCAGCTATTTCATCAGAGAAGGTATGTCACTGTTTTTGTTTCATGCACGACGTGCGTTTGTCATAAAATCAGTTTATTTACATGGTAGAAATTAAAATTTTTGTTAAAATATACAACAGAACAATACTATTTATTGTACTTATAAACTGGAATAATTGCAGTTACAGATGCGGCAGTCTTGAGATACAGATTGGAGAGCATTCTTGTTTTTATTACTTAACGTGATCCTTCATCGATATTACGAATGAATTCGAGTTTAACGATCTCTTCAACTGAACACTTCGTCTTAACTATCTCAATTATACGCTGCTTGTTGGAAGTTTCTAACGATTTCTTTACATCGACACGCATAATCATTGTCATTTATTCAATCACAATATTTAACACCAATTAAAATTTATTTATTTATAGCCGTGTAGGGGGTAACTTCTTTGACATGATGCTGAAATGTATTTCTAGTAGTATTTCAAGGGCGGATTCAGGATTTCGTCTAGGGGGGGGCGCAATATTTGGGGCTGGTCATTTTTCAACATCAGTGGAACTTCTAGAATTTATCCTATTATTGCTTCTTAAATCCATTGTGTACTATCTGGTCAAGGCCAGTTTGACAAAAAAAAGCATGGAAAATACTCAGAAATCCTCAGAAAGTCAATATTTTATTATATGAGAACACAATAAGTATGTGGCATTTCTTAGTGTAATAAGATTAAAGATTCAAACATAAAAAAAATTAATAAAACATTCTGAGGGACCCGAAGACATATCCCAGTCCATTCCACACAAAACAATGTCTTTGATGGTGAAAACAAACATGAAACCGAAAAATTCACATTATCGTACGGACGCTAGACGAGAAAAAATGTCTATAGACCATCTGTAGCTTGTGCCTTGAAACCATCTCCAGACTGCCTACAGACAAGTTGCGCAATGGGGTCTACTAGTGTGTACTAAATTTAAGGATTAAGACACTGACCTGCCCATTAAACAAATCAAGTAAATGGTGCAAATACTTAACACAATCAAGCACTTCTGTTATATAAAAATATCAATATGTATAGTCAATTATCTTTTGAAATTCAATGTAGATGTTACAGTTATTTTTCAGACTTTCGTTGTCGAACTTCGATTTACGCCATAGTTGTTGTTTTTTCAGTTTTCAAATCGGTGTTGATCGCATGTAAAAATGTTGGAAATCTTTGGAAAAAACTATCTGTTAGATCGTAATTACTTTGATAATGTATGTTTGTAAGAAACAAGTACATGAATACAGGGCTGTACATATTCACGTGTAGTGCAGAAGCTCTGTGATTTAAACGAATTCAATGTAGCAACATAAATAGACACATTCGCGGGACGAGTGGTATTGACTTTGAGCATCGATTGACGCAGTTTCTGGACAGGCCACAGGCGCACCGCTAAACAAATCTCATAAATGTCTATTTCCAATTTAGAAATTCATCTAACATAGTGCTTCGCTGCAACACCAACCCCTAACAAAATCAGTCAAGCTTCACAAACTTTTCAGATTACTATCGAGCAAAAAACAGAACGTAAATCACTTTTTAAGTGCAATCTATATAGCTAATATTTTAGTCACAATACTCGTATATACAGGGTGAAAAGTTAGTACTGGATCAACGGAAGTCAGGTGATAGAGGGCCCCAAAGCCTATCGAATGAACCCCTGTATGTGTGGTCCGAAATTTTATAGTTCAGGAGATATTTGCAATTTTGTGAAATTTCGAAAAAAACGGGATAATGAACTTTCAATCGCAATTACAACTAAACCATTAGGTTTAGAGCTGTGATTTTTATGAAATGAGCTAAATGGTTAGTTTTAGCAATAGTCATGCCACTTTTTAACAGAGCTAATTAGAAATCAGCTCAAAAAATCTTAAATTCATTTTTTTGTGAAAAATCTCTTTCATCCCTCAGCTTTGGAGGGTGGTGAAAAAATTGAGGTATTTCATTATTCATTTTATTGTAAAAACTATTTCAATCCATGTAGAATAAACCCTCGAAATTTCAGCTTAAACAATCTGTATGTTTGACGCAGGTGGGTATCTATACACGTAAACAAGAAATTCTATTTTACGAGGTACAGTCCAAGCGACTTCATGGATTTTGACATAACATATGAGGTACTGTTAGATTCGTCCTAGCAGTGCGAGTTATACTGTGTATTAGAATTTTGTAAAATCAAAATGGCAGATTTTTTACACAAATAGCAAAATCAGCTTAATGAGCTTGGGCATTCAATTCGACATTCCAGATGCGGGAGCGTTCAATCTTTGGTCCGACCGAAGTTACTAAGTCAGGCAATGGTCCAGCGCGGAATTTGTATCTAACGTTTGGCATCTGAGTGGAATCATGTCATATTCTCCGCCAGATTATGCAGAAATGCTATTATGATGCTGCCCTAGGAAATGCTCGAGCAGCTGCTCGCATATATCGGGAGTATGTGGTTAGAAGAGGTGGACCACAACCGGCGGTATATTCCGACTACCGTGTTTTTCTACGCGTCCATAATGCTTACATATAGATACTAGGCACTCATCGTCAGCTAGGAGCGCCGAGGATACGCCCAGAAGAAATAGAAGATATGATAGACGCAGCCGAGCGAGATCCCTCTATAAGCACCAGAGCCATTGCCCGAAGCAGAAACATATCCCATAGTTCAGTGCACTACGCTCGAAGAACATGCATCCTTACCATGTACAAAAAGTACAAGAATTGCTTCCAAACCACTATGCACAACGGGTTGAATTTTGTGATAATATGTTGAGAAGGTGCGACGAGGATGAAACTTTTTTCGACAACATCTTATGGACAGATGAATCCGACTTTAAGCGAAATGGAATATTCAATATGCACAATTTCCATTCATGGATCGTGGAAAATCCACACGTTATTCGCCCAAATCGCCATAGCGGCTAAACACAATAGGTTCTGTACTTGTAGGTGGTAAGGATTCTATTGCGTTTCTTATGATTATCGCATCACAACAACGAATGTGACATGATATACTCATCGTAGCAAGCTGACATTTTCAGGGTTTATTCTACATGGATTGAAATAGTTTTAACAATAAAATAAATAATGAAATACAACATCAATTTTTTTACCGCCCTCCAAAGTTGAGGGCTGGAAGGGTTTTTTCCAAAAAAATGAATTTAAGATTTTTTGCCATGATTTCTAATTAGCTCTGTTAATAAGTGACATAACCATTGCTAAAACTAACCAATTTTCTCATCTCCAAAAAAATAATCACAGCCCTAAACCTAATAGTTTAGTTGTAATTGCGATTGAAAGTTCATTATCTCGTTTTTTTCGAAATTTCACAAAATTGCAAATATATCCTGAACTATAAAAATTCGGACCACACGTATAGGGGTTCATTCGATAGGTTTTGAGGCCCTCTGTCACCTGACTTCCGTTGATCCCCTACAAACTTCACACCCTGTATACGTATAAATCGTAAGAATTGTGCTGTAAACTTAACTGATGATGTTGGAATATCAAAGGATACCAAAAAAACACAATGCTGTTCCTATAGCTATAACTTATAGTTAGTATGCGTCTGTCACCATGATGTGCCAGAAAGTAACATAATGGTGTTAGATTACAAAAGCAAGTGTCAGACGTCAAGGTTGGGGCGCGCGCCCCCCTCTAAATCCGTGTTTCATATTATCTGTTAAAATAATAAAAAATCCTTTTTTTGAAATGAGTTACCCCACACTCATATTCAATGGTGATTCATTGAGCAACTGAACAGAAAAATTGAATCAAGTATTGAGTCAGTACTTTCCATGCATTAATACAGATGTGTTAAAATTTTTCTGTATGCAAAAGTAGAATAAATGAATGATTCAGTTTTATTGAATCCCTAATGCATTTCCAGGGTGTGTTAAGATAGTAAAAATGTTTCTACTTTTAGTACTGTACATACAAACATGTTTGGTGGCATAGAAGTTGGGAAATGTTTACCTCAACAAAAGGAAAAGAAAATTATTTTGGTAATTCCCTAGTTTAACTACACCAGCCGTTTTTTTATGAAAAAATGGTTTTAGACCCTGGTTTTTGGGTGTAGATGAAAGAAATGGGCCTGAAAATGAGCGCAAACATAAAAATTCGGAAATATTTTACTATGACTTGTAATGTCACGTATTCCTGTTAAGGGGTGATAGATTAGGTCAAAAGCAACCGATTGTGTCCTATCATGTCTTATCCAAAAGTTAACCATTTTTGAGTTATTTGAATTTCAAGTTTTTTATTTTTTATTCCGATTTCAGACGGTTAAAATTGAAATACAAAAAACTGCATGCTTTGTTTTGAGTTTTTTGTTATCGTCGCATAGCAGACGTTCCAATAGTTCATAATAAGTAATAAAATGTTGAAAAGCTACAAACGTTTTAAAATTACGCTTTTGCAATTTTCTGTAAAAAATCTCCTAGTAACGAAATGTGCAAATTATGTAAATAACATCTCTATCTGACAAGCTTTCATTTGAGGTATTAAGCGTTCAATTATCTGAAGTACATGCAGAGAAACAACAATGACACCCACAGAGGCTGGATTTTTAAGGAATTTGTATTACCTGTTTGAACAAGTCGTTACTGTCCTCAAAGGAATCGCATGCCATGATTTTTTTATGGCATCGGCTCGACGAGGAAGCGAGCGAGAAGAGCTGACTTAGTGGAGGAGTGAGAGAGAGAGCTGTTATTATTCATCATTGTAGTTACGCCATCGCCGCACGCCGAGTGAGAATTAGGTTTAGTTGGTATCAACTACTGCGTACGCGCACACGTTTTACGCATGATTATTATTTTCGAGTTTCCCTGTTCATTTCGAGTGGTTTCTTTATCATAATGACAGACGCAGAAGATGCGCCAGGACCTCGCCATAGCAAGCTAGGGCAAATTTTTACAAATGAAGAATACGCAGACATAATGTTCTGTTATGGACTTTGTAACGGCGATTCTGCAGCTGCCAGCCGTGAATATCGGCAACGTTTCCCGAATCGCCAAACACCTCATGTACGTGTTCAAAGGCAACATAGTGATGCCGGTCGACCCCGAGTCTATCCTCCTGAAGATTAAGAGGAAATCCTTCGTGTGTTTCAGCAAGACCCTACTACGTCTACCCGCATTGTGGCTGCTCAGTTGGGTATATCACAATACAAAGTATGGTTTACTGTGCATACTTCAAGATTATACCCTTATCACTACACGCTTGTGCATGTGATTGAAGAGGGCGATCCTGCAAGACGATTAGATTTCTGCAGGTACATGTTACATGCAGATACAGAAGATCCAGACTATTTTAAGAAAATTCTGTGAACCGATGAATCGAAGTTTGATAAAGACGGGATCACTAACTACCATAATGCTCATTACTGGGCTGATAAAGAAGCTTTAAACCCCCGAAAAATAGGACCGACGGGGTCTCAGAGCCGGTTTTCAGTCAATGTGTGGATGGGCATCATTGATGGATATTTAATTGGACCTCATTTTCTGCCCGCCAATTTAAATGGAAAAGTGTATGAAGAGTTCTTGAAAAATCACTTGTTTCCATTAATGGGAGACGTCCCATTGGCGACGAGACAAAATATGCGGTTCCAGCACGACGGCTGTCCCGCACACTACAGTAGATTAGTACGGGCGTATTTAGACTCTAAATTTCCAAATCAATGGACTGGCAGAGGCGGGCCCATTGCCTGGCCAGTAAGAAGCCCAGATCTCACACCGATGGATTACTATGTGTGGGGACATATGAAAAGCCTGGTGTACGACGTTTCGCCCGTACCAACGCGCGATGAATTAATTACAAGGATAATCAGTGCAGCTGACCAAATAAAAAGCCGCTCAACAACTAGAGTTTACCAAAAGTGAATTACGTAAGAGAATGCGGGCGTGTATTCGTAACAGGGGATTACAGTTTGAGCAGAATCTGTAAAATACTAAAGGAAATGTAATTAAATAAAACTGTAATTAAAATAAAAGCCTTTTATTTATCCTACGTAATTATCGTTCGTACAACTTTACCCATCTTTTTTTAATTTTATGTCTTTGTACTTGTAACTTTTATACCTCAAATGAAAGCTTGTTAGATAGAGATATTATTTACATAATTTGCACATTTCATTACTAGGAGATTTTTTACAGAAAATTGCATTTTTTATCTAATAAGTTAGTAAAAAAATAAGAAAATCATACATTTCAAAAGCGTAATTTTAAAACTTTTGTAAGTTTTCAACATTTTATTACTTATTATGAACTATTGGAATGTCCGCTATGCGACGATAACAAAAAACTCACAATCAAACATGTAGTTTTTTTATATTTCAAATTTAACCGTCTGAAATCGGAATAAAAAATAAAATTCAAATAACTGAAAAACGGTTAACTTCTGGATAGGACATTTTAGGACAAAATCGGTTGCTTTTGACCTAATCTATCACCCCTTAACAGGAATACGTGACATTACAAGTCATTACAAGTAATAGGTTTTTATTGAATGTTTGTTTTCAAAGACTCTGCGATGTTGCCAGATTTCATTACTTAATAGTTTTTTTACCATTATTTTTTACACCAGTGACTTTTTGGAACATCTATTGCAGTTTTGAATAAAGTCTGAAATTTTATACAAATTGCCTGTGAAGGTGAATTTTTGTGAGACTACTCCTTTTGGAGGACAACTGGTTTGAATATTTGAGGTAAAATCTACATAGAAAACTCCAATCCATTCTACCTTGAAAATATATTAAAGTAGCTAAGCTTCACATTGAAATTTGCATTTAGTGTATGAGGAGAGTAATCCTGTTTCATTATTTGGATAAATTTCATACTTCGTTCTTATTCAGTCTGATCTGTAGCAAAAATACCAAAGAAACGACTCATCATCCCAACTTGCAGTTCTTATTTCTTTTTGTTGACGCCCATTCAAAATATCAGCCACACAGAGATTGTTAAACACTGATTGGTCAAGCAGACAACCAATACGATTATTTTATCGTAAACACAGAATCAAAACGTGTGGAAAGGTGTTGGACAGTTTTTTCCGATCACCCATCGTGTGCTTGGGAATGAGTTTTATGTATAGAAAAATGAAGGTTGTATTTGGATGGACGATTCATATATGCCTTGAATTGTTTGCATGTTCAACCTACTGTATGGACACATAATTTTCGGATTTCTCTTTTCTAACATTATTTTTTTTATGTCTAAAAACCGTATTTGTGAAGCCGTAGAAGCGTTGAATCGTTACTGCAGTACTGAAAAATGTGTTCAGATATTTTGTGTCAATTTGCGAATTATTTGAAATAAAAACAACAAAAATTGGACGAATTAGCACTAGCAATAGTAGCAGTACAAATCAAAGCCAGTAGTAGTACCTCCAAGAAATAGAATCAATTTACCCAAATGAATTAAAGTTGAATATTATAATATATTTCCTGAGAGTGTTAATGGTCTGCTGTTGGAGCGTCTCAAAAGGAAGGTTAAATCAATTTTAACAGACATAGTACCATATACCTTTGATTATTTTAAAATGTACCATGGACACGTTTCTATTACCTAGATCATATATTTTAAGCAATTTAAGACGGATTTTGGTGAAACAGCACTATTACAACTTTTCAGTTTTTATCTGTATATTTTACATGTTTAACTTGTCGCTTATGTTTGTATATCCGTTTTACCGTTCTGTGTGTTATAATTGTAATATGACTGTGTTGCAATGTATACAGTCATGCTTGTTGCAATTGTCATTCATATGTGTATTTAT